TCTTATTTTTGTATTTTTTTTAATATGTCCAGTTCAATAATGCCGGCCAAATCAAGAGTAGAAGAACAGGAGATGAGCAAAATAGAGGGGATGCTTCTTATTTGGGGAATGAAACAACTTGGTTTGTTTCAGTGATATTTCAATTTTTCATCATTTCCCTTTTTGTGGGTCCCACTCTCACCTTAGTGGGACCCACCTGGAGAAGGAACAGCCCTCCTCTGTTCTTCTGGTTCCTCATGGTGACAGAGTTTTCTTCTCCCAAATTTTAGTTCTGATCTATTGTTCCTTTTCTTCTCTCTTGCATCTTTCTTACACAAGAATAAATAAAGATATACAATCCATACCACCAAAATATGCCACCCTTAAGAAAATGGAGAAAGAAAAGTTGTTTAGCCGGTCTCGCAATGTTGCAGTGCTAGTTTGGAACATCGCGGTGCTCAAGGCTCTGTCTCCAGTTTGTGAGATAGTGTGGCAACGTTATATCTTGATATCTGCAACACACTGCTCTTTGCTTTTGCTCACATAAAACTATACAGTGTCAGGGCGCTCAGGCACACAACGCATGGACGTTGCACGAAAAAAAAATTTAGTTGCACCCACACCCAAGCAGGGAGAGTGCTCCCTGCACCCACAAGAGAGCACAACAAATTGAGTTGATGTTCATGTCAACAATATAAACCGATTGATCAACACAATCATATTCCATGCAGACTAACAATTTTATAGGACAAAATTTTCTCAAAGAGGAAAGAAAAATCAATGCTCAAAAGCCAGTACAAACGAAGCTTAAACTAATGCAAACAAGAAAAATTTTCGTTGGTTTTGTTTTTCCTAAAATTTTGAAGAGATAAACATCAAAGTTCAACTTAATAGAAATTAATATAAAACTGTTTTTTCATGCATATATTTTATGAAAACTATTATTTTTTTAAATATTTATTTATTGCATTAAACGCGACAATATAAGAAATATAAAAAATATAAAAAATATATAGTTAAAACCCCATACTTCAAAAGAGAAAAATGTACTAAAATAGAAGTAATTCTACTTGATTAAACTGTCTCTAGATGTTAGTTAGCTAGAAATTAGGAAGCCAGAGAGGAAATCTAACAAGTCATGAATTATTTTTTCTTATCAATTTTACTATAATTGGATGCTAACTAAAATTAGAAAATAAAATTAAATTCTTATTTTTGTATTTTTTTTTAATTTGTCCAATTCAACAATGCCCACTAAATCAAGAGTAGAAGAACAGGGGATGAGCAAAACAGAGGGGACACTTCTTATTTGTGGAAGGAAACAGCTCGGTTTGTTTCTGTGAGATTTCAATTTTTCATCCTTTCCCTCTGCGTGGGTCCTACTCCCACCTTAGTGGGACCCACCAGGAGGAGGAACAGCCCTCCTCTGTTCTTCTGGTTCCTCATGGCGACAGAGTTTTCTTCTCCCAAATTTTAGTTTTGATCTGTTTTTCCTCTTCTTCTTATAGACAATAAAAAAGGGGACTTTTTCATCTCCAGGTACGTTGTAATTGAAATTTGTTTTTCTTCCTCCGTTCAAAAAAAAAAAAAAAAGTCACAGAGCTTATTTTTTTTTTTAATCTGTATATTTTGATTTAAATCATCAAAAATTTAATTCACTGTAGCCTGTTAAAATTTTCTGAATTTTTACGTCATCTGTTTGTGGTCTGCATAAAAGAAAAAAAGACTGTTCCTTTACGACTTCTTTGCCTTCTCTGATTCGTGAGCGAAAACTCTCATTTAATTTAAAGAGATTTCTCGTATCTCCTATGTGAAATATCTTTCATAGATATTTCTCTTTCTCCCTTGAAATTTTTTGGTTTAAAATTGTAAAATTTAATTTGCAGTAAATTATGAAAAATTCTTCTTATATCCCTTCTCTGTGCAGACTGCTCTTCAGCAATATGTGAAGATAAACAAAATGATTCTTTTCCTCCTTTTCTTGATCATGAGAGATTAGAGAAACGGTTCTTGTCATAGAGATTTCTATTTCTCCCTTTGAATTATTTGATATTACGGTCTTTTGTTACTGTAATTTTTTAAATTTCCAATTTTTTACCCTTTATTATCCCATAAGATTTGCAGACAAAAATATTGTTTTCAAAACTATTTAATGAATAACATAATATCTAAATAATGTTATATACTTATATCTCCAATGAAAAAAAACATTCAAAATCAAAATTTTATTGTAATTTTCTGATCTTTTCCGTCTTCTGTTTTTCACCGTGCATTTGTCATCACGGAGATGGGGAAGAAATGGATTTCTGCAGTCAAAAAAATCTTCAGTTCTGAATCTACGGAGAACCATACCTTCGAGGTTAGAAAGACATCTTCTATTTATTATCATTTATTCTCATATGAAATTCAATCAAAATGACATTTTGGCCTTAATTTCCTTAGAAACCAGATAAGAAATTGCGCAAATCAAAGCATTCAAAGAACTTTGTAGATCCTCTTGAAGATTCAAAGAATGGGCAAAGCCAACGCGCTTATTCAGTGGCAATGGCCACCGCCGCGGCGGCCGAGGCGGCCATGGCGGCAGCTCGGGCGGCGGCGGAGATGGCCAGATTAACCACATCATTAAGAGCCTTCCATGAAAGACCAAGAAAGGAGGTTGCAGCAATCAAGATTCAGGCTGCCTTTAGAGGCTATTTGGTATTGAATTTATTTCAGATCGGATTTGTGGATATAAAAACACAATCTTCTCAGGCATCTCCAACCGAAATTCTCATTTTTCACTGCAAAATGCAGTAAAATCAAAAACTGCCGTGATTCATCTCCAGTGGAACGTCATTTTGCCCCCAAATCATCGCTCTTTTCTTTCGCGCCTTTCTCAGACGAGTTCAGTAGAGAAAGAAATGGCGCAAGTGAACAGTGCGAGTCAATATTGACGTTGCACTGTTCAACTGTCATCAAATAGCGGAAGAAATGACGTTCAGTTGCTAAGTTTGAGGGCCTCCATTCGGCTGTTTGCCGAATGGTTGGAGATGTTCTTAGAAAAATTATGAATTACATCCAATTAATTAATAGAAAGTAATGATTTTTAATATTTTTTAAAATGTGTATCTACCTACAAAGAAGTAAAATTTTTAATAATAGAATGATATCATTATCTTCATTGTGTATTGCGTTATTGAAGGTGAGAAGAGGAACAGGAGCTTTGAGAGGATTGGTGAGGTTGAAGCTAATGGCCAACCGAAGGGCAGTCAAGCGCCAGACTATAAACACATTGCACAACATGCAAACCCTAGCAAGGGTTCAAGCACAGCT